TGCATAATTCATGACTTGACTAGCGCCCGGCGGCAGTTGTATGCATCCCTCTCCGTTGGCGGACGGACAAACAAGGCGCGGCGAGGCTCGTCCTTTCTTCCTTCCTGCACTCACTCCACCAGCAGGGGGCATGCTGGACATGACCTTATAACTTGGCCAACTTCACTTTGTCTGCAGAGGGTCGGCACTAAGTACTTGAAACAAGGGTAGATGCTCTGCGACAGATTCATCGCATCTACCCGTCAAGGTCACGCGACCGTCAAGCCGAGGATGTTTTCCAAACTTCTCCGAATTCATCCTTCTTTAGGTCTCTCATACGCGACTTCGCGTGGAGCCGCTCTCAGCAAGCCGCTCGTGGCATTGGAGAGCACCATCATCACGCATGGCCTGCCCTATCCAGCCAACGTGGAAACTGCCAAAGCTTGCGAAGAAGCGGTGAGGGACGCCGGAGCTGTGCCAGCTACCATCGCTCTTCTAGATGGCTTTGCAAATGTAGGGCTCGCGCCTCGTCAGCTGGAGCGGCTAGCTGCGTGTGGCGATAGAGACGGATCAAAAACGAAGGAAGAAGTGGTCAAAGCTGGCAGAAGAGATCTTGCCGCGGTGCTGGCTCGTCCCGATGTCATTGGTGGGACTACCGTGAGCGGAACTATGGTCCTGGCTCAACTCGCTGGCATCGAGATATTCGCTACTGGGGGCATCGGCGGCGTACATCGAGGCGCACAGGATTGTGAGTAGTCTATTTGAAGTCATATGCCTTGCATTGTGGATAAGAGGAGACATACTGACGTCTCAGGTATCCTTCCTTTCATCGTCCACAACGATGACATGGGGTACTTCTAGCTATGGACATCTCTTCTGATCTGACGGAGCTTGGCAGAACGCCAGTGTCTGTTTTCAGCAGTGGTGTCAAGTCCATCTTGGACGTTGCGCGCACTCTAGAGTATCTCGAGACGCAGGGAGTCGGTGTGAGCTCGTTCAACCGCTCCGGAGAGGTGAGTGGGTAGAAGCTCACCCAACACTCCCATTGGACGAGACCAAATTGATGCTCATATCCGCATCAAATACTGGACAACGCAGTTTCCAGCCTTCTACACTGCCAAATCAGGTCATCATGTGCCTGCTGTGGACTCTCCACGACAGGCAGCTGAAATCATCTATGCGGCTAGAACACTGGGACTAGACTCAGGTCACCTCTTTGGAGTTCCGATCCCATCGAAATTTGAGCCAGCTGGTCAAGCAATTAGCTTGGCAGTCGAACAGGCAGTGCGCGAATCTGAAGAGAATGGCATCGCCAAATCTGGCAAGGATGTAACTCCCTGGTTGCTCAAACGCGTCACTGAGCTGTGTCCAAAGGCTCTCGAAAACAACACAGCGTTGGTCGTCAACAATGCGAAGGTGGCCGCGCAGACCGCTGTGGAGCTGCAAAAGATACGAGCGGACAGAGACACGAAAATTTACCCAAGCGCGGTGCCTGATAAGGCCACGCAGAAGGCAACAAGTATCATCGAGAGCGCAACCGACACCGCTCAAATCAACGCGTCTTCAGTGACCGGTCCTCAACGTAAACTGCCAAGAGCCGGAACTCTGGTGATCGGTGCTGCCGCGCTCGACGTGACTGCGCAAGGAAGCAAAGATGCCATCTCCTCTGGCACCACCTATCCTGGCAGGGTCATAACGTCGCCGGGAGGCGTAGCGCGAAACATGGCGGAGGCGGCCACACGACTTCTACGGACGTATGAGTACCATGCTGTTCAGCTGATAGCTCCTGTTGGAGAGGACGCGGCAGCTGTGACGTTGAGACAGGCCATGGAAGCTTCGTTTATGCGGGCGGATGGACTGCGAATTAGTAAGCGGGTACGCACACCTTCTGTCGTATTGAACCTTGACGAGAGCGGCGATCTACATGGCGGCATTGCAGACACCGAGGCACTCGAAGAGAGCGATGCAGATACGTCCTCTCGATTGGCTGCTCGACTTTCATCTCCAATTCCCCTCACCATAGGGCTGGACGCCAACCTTCAGGAGGAAGCCCTATCCAAGGTCGTAGATTCTGTGTATGGAGTGCAGACCAAGCGTCGCTCGCCTGCAACTGCAGTGCTGTATGAGCCTACTTCTGTTGCTAAGGCACCCAGGCTGATAGGCGCTCTGCACAAGATCAAGGAGAAGTACAAGAATGACCCCAACGTGAGGCACATAGACGTCATCGCGATGAGTGCGGAGGACGGGAAGGACCCGATAGGTTGCTGGTTACGGAACTGGACGACATTCATGACCCCGAACGAGAGCGAAGTCGCAGCCATACACTCTGAAGCATACAAGCTCGGTTTGCTTCCATGGAATGCGGACAAGGTGGTGTTCAGATCTCCCATTGTACACGGAGAGGTAGAGAAAAAGGCGCAAGAACTCTCTGCATTGGTTTCGGGCGCAATCTTAGTGAAGATGGGCTCTAAAGGGGTCTTAGTTGCACGATCAGGCCTTGATTCTGATAATTACGAGCCGATGATATTGTCGCGCCTCTGTCCGCCACCGACTCGAGTCACTCCAGACACGGAGCTCAATACGACGGGTGCCGGTGACACGTTTGCAGGAGCTATGCTCGCTCTCTGCCACGTCTCGATGCAAGAAGGATTTCATCCACGGCTCTGGGACTCGGTACACTGGGACATGGCAATCGAAATCGCGCAGAGAGCTGCTGCCCTCACATTGGACTCCGCCCAAGCCGTCTCCCCACTGCTTGAGTCACATCTGGGCCAAGAAGTGCTGAAATTCGGGCTCTTCCTCCGCGGCGATCCGGAAGCGTCGATTCACTAATTTGGGTTGAGGCCAGGCACGAAATAAGTAGTCACGAGCTGCTGCCGCAGCGCTGCCCAAAAAGATATGCGTGGACTGTAGACCAGCAGTCTCCATGGCCTCAGGAAGACTGCATTTTGATCTTCATATATTCCGATGCCATCGCACGGCCGATGCGTACGCCAACGCACTGATCGCTCTATCTCGCCGGGTGTTCGGTGTCTCCGAGGACTAGCGCTCTTCGTGAATGTGCCTGCAGGACTAGTACTAATAAGGCTTCATCACTGCTTGGGAAAACCGTGACGTCGACGGCACGAGCAGGTGTAATGCGCATGCTTAATATACTGTAGCTGCAGAATCAAAAGGCTGTCCTTCAGCGTCAGGAAGCCTGTGGACCCTACAAAATCGCACTATCATCATTTGTCGTGGGAGCGGGGGCAAGCTCACAGGGTAGTGATGATCTTGTCTAGCAGACAACACGATGTACAAAGTGCCGATGAATGATGTTTTGATGGTCCCCATTCGCGATTTGCTCGAATCAAGAGTGGGAACGCGGCAAATATGCAGGCCAGATTCTGTCCGCAGGCAAGAATCAACTCCTGCATCGAACTGACGAAAAGCGCCTCCACTCAGCTCGCTGCGCGAAAATTTCAAACGGCTGCCCTTTTTACAATTTCCTTCACGCAATCGGATCGACGCTGCTCTTGACTTACCTTCACAATTACCGGTACCGCAAGACTGCAAGACGTCACATTCACCACTGTACTGTTCGGCAGCCTTTTTCCCTTTTGCGTAACGCCATCCAATCACCGATCCCTCTTCGCGATGGCATCCTCGCAATCGCGAGCTACCCAGCCCCTGATTCTTGTTCGTTCCAGCGTAAACATAGATGAGACGTATCGGGTACCGCACATTGTTCGTCCAGGAGAGACGCTCTCCTCCACTAGCCTGGTCAGTCGATCAGGTGGTAAAGGTGCCAACGTCAGCGCAGCTCTGGGATTGCAGGGGGCCCAGGTGTACTTGTGTGGTGCTGTTGGCAAGGATGCGGATTGGCCTGTGGAGGAGCTGGAAAAGAGGGGTGTCAAGAGCGATGCGGTCTTGAGGTTGGACAGGGTGCCAACTGGCAGGGCGATCATCCAGATCGCGGATGATGGTGAGAATAGCATGTGAGTAGCGAGGAGACACGAAAAGCAAGCTGCATGTACTGTAGGCTCATGTCGCCATCGCTTTGCCGAGTGCTTCAGCGTGCTACTCCCCGGAGCCAACTTTCACAGAGAAGCGGCTTCTACCTCCGACCCCGCGACAGCATTTAAAGCTTTGCCTCGTCCACCCACGCATCTGGTGCTGCAGAATGAGATTCCTCTGGAGCACACCAAAGCGTTCTTGTCATACGCTCATGCGAAAGGTGTCACGACGATCTTCAATCCTTCGCCAATGCTCATTCAGGACAAGGTGCGAGACTTTGCTTGGGATGAATTGAACGTGCTGATCGTCAACGAAGGAGAAGGTGCAGATCTGCTCGAAGCTTTCGGCGTCAGGGCTCCCGAAGGACCGCAGTCGGTGCTCGATGCTCTCAACGATCTGAAGCAGCTAGCAAAGCTAGACTGGATCGTGCTGACAAGAGGTTCAAAGGGCGTCATTGCGAGGGTCAGGCTGTCGGATTGTAGCGAGGAAGAACGTGCAGAGCTGGACAAGCCGTCGGTCAAGCCAAAGGAAGTCAAGGACACCACTGGAGCTGGGGACACGTTTGCTGGGAACCTCATTCATACTCTTGCTCAACATCAAGCCAGCGAACAGACGACGAAATTGCTCAAGCGTAAAGATGCGGAACACGTGCTGGAGTGGGCTGTTACAGCTGCCTCGATGGCTGTAGAAGTAGAGGGCGCACTGGAAAGCATACCCAAAAGGCAAGAGGTGCAACATAGATGGGAGCAAGCATGGTCTCAAAAGTGATGTCGCACCGAACGCAAACTCTTTGATGAAATGCATTTACTGCGTACTCGGCACCACAGATTTGCTGAGGATGTCGTAATCGTACTCTGTCTCGTTATCACCCTTTTGGTCTAAAGGTGTCGCGCTTTCTGTAGACCATTGACTAGGGCTGATCGAGTCGGTCCAGTATCTGCTCGTCATGCGTCAGCTTTGCGCACGGTCGGATGGAGGAACAGGGATGCGAAGCAAGCACTCACCCGATCTTTTTGTAAAAAGCTTTGGCTTCGAGGTTGTTGCTAAAGACTGTTAGCATGACTTTGCGCATGCGTGTCTTGCAAGCGATATGCTCGAGCTGTTGCATCAGAAACCTGCCCAAGCCGTGCTTTCGGTGCGGTAAGGATACCTGCACCTCGTAGCTGTAGTCGAAAGGGAATGCTTTGAGCATCACATGATGGGACTCTTGGTGATTGAAGCCGGCATCCTACGAACCAATAAGCCACTTCGATCTCCTCTTCTCTCCTGCGACCAGGTCTATGACGCTGTGCCGGATCAGATGGATCACACTCTTCTGTGTCAAAACGCCATACCGCGAACGCCGCTGGTCGAGTGACAGACGATTGGGCGCCCTCGACGAGAATCAAGAAGCGAGACTGATGGTGGAATATTTCCGTCCTTTTCTCAGCTGGTGCCCAACCTTGAGTTGATCTTTCGTAGCTGTAAAAGGTGCAGTCGTATCAGGATCTGCTCTCACTCGCGCAGAGCATGCATCCCTTACGTACTGCGACTGCATGTTTGCTTGGAAAAGAGCGAATACTTCCTCCTTCTCTGCATTAGAAAGCCCCGCAGTAGTGGCCACTAAGAGGGTGTATCTTGCGGTGGGGCATGTATCAGGCATATGAAGGGCTCGATCGGCTCCCTTGGCGTCTTGGGGAACACGGCGAACTCACTCGGCATTCGCTATCTTCAAAGTCCGAGACATTCTATCACTCCGGTTCTCCCTGCTGACAGTAGACTCGTCTGATAGCGCTCCATTTTGAGCGTCGTTTCTAAGACGCTCGTGGTCTAGCAGCTCGAGCAGCTGTGCAGCAGCGATCTGATGTTCGTCATCACACGATCAGCATTGGCTAGTCGATCAGCACGATGTCGAGACCGCGGCACATACTTTTTGAGCCCTGGCAGCCACCTGCTTTGCGGATAGGAGAGCGGGCGGTGCGCTGAATCCATCAGCTCCTGCTGCTTTGCCTCTTGCGCTCAATCTGCCATGGCTGGGCATGGCTTGATCCAGCTTCGCACGCGCTGTCAAAGCTCCACCTGGCCGCGTTGGGTCAATGCGTCGCAGCTAGACTTGCCGTCGTGGCTACCGCCGCACCTCACGCCTTTGCGCCAAAGCACGTGCTTGCTGCTTGCCTGCTTGCCCGATACGATGGCTATATAACACCTCCGAATGCTCCGATCGTTCCTGACATGTGCTCAGAGATTGAGCGACCTATGCTGGATTTAGCTCCTTCAGCGATTCGTGGGAGTGAGTGCCGCGACTGTGTGCAGCCTTGGGCTGGTTTGCAGGGGCCCATGGGCTTGATGAAGTTCTTGCTGCTCGCTGCTTGATGGCTCGCGCACACGCATACGCTGCAGCACCGTCAGCGAAGTTTGTTGTGTTGACGCACGAGCAAGCGCTAGCTTGGGCGTTGGTTGGCGCAGCGGCGCATGCGGTTCTCGATCACGGCCGCGCTGCTTTTATGCCGCTATATGAGTGGCGGGCTCGCTGATGATGCGCTATTCATGTGTATACCACCCGCGATCAGCCGGATGAAACAGCCGCGGATCAAAGGGATAGCGAGCCGTCACGTTGCTCTTGATGGCCACTCTATATATCTTGATATACGTATAAATGGCGTTGGGCGTGCTAGTGTTTCCTTTAAGGACCTTTGGAGCCTGTCGCGTCATACCAGCACATCGTCTGCGAGGAAGCATTACGCTATTCTGGCCGATTTGCAGGCCAGTCTGGATGCAGCGTCGACCTCGAGGTCTCACCATCGTCTTCGCGCGAAAATCTTGCATGGAGATGCATCCGCGAGTCTTGACCTGCGCCTTTTTGCAGCTCGTCGCGCTCGTATCTCAGCTCACGACCTTGAGCCAGAGCAGTCTTCTGTGCACTCCATGACTGGGTCTGAGTGGAATGATCATTTGTATTTGTGCTGGCATAGGGTACGTCGTGCACCATTTACATGCCTATTTGGACAAAATTTACACAGGCACGAGAATGATGACAGACACGGGGAATCAATTATAAGTTCCCTCGGCCGCGAATGAAGCGCAAGAACGTATGTGTGAGACATGCCTGATGCGCTGGTTCTCCGCGCGGTGCGAAACCTAGGAACGCCGCGCGCGCACGGAAATTGCAGTTTTCTCGCG